TCACTTTTAGTGGCATAAGAGCTAATGTAGTCTTTAGAGTGGTCAAGAAGTAATTTTCCAAAGCTTTATTTCATAAATTTCATATACTGTGTTAAATATACTTAATTATCAATTGCACGTTTTTTTCATCGTATTACTTGATAAATCACCCGATTTTTTCTAGAAAATTAAGAAAAAACAGCACTACCAGATCACCATAGAAACAATATCAAAAGTGGGAAAATTCAAATTATTGTTATGCGAATGAATAAAAAAAATTCTTAAAAGACAGTTACATGCAGAGTCGTCGGCTTTTACTTTGTATTTTTGTTATTCTAGGTCATAAACAAGATGATTAGACGTGAAGTACATCAATTGTCACGAACTATGCACGACTCAGTCGTTTATAATATATATGTTAGGGCAATGAGGAAAGGTTCATATTTTGTTAGAAAACATGTATTATGGGGTTCCTTTTTAAAAAAAACAAACTCAGAGATAATTTCATTTTGATCTCGCATTGTGCGATTTCTCGTAAAAGTCAAAAATAGCAATAATAAAACGTATATTAAAACTATTTTGTGAAATGTTAGATTCATCTTTTGCAGAAATCAAAGCTTTTACCAGCAATGCAAACAAATCTATTGAAAAAGCAACTGTTAACGTTCATAAATGTCTTTACATAGGGAAATCTCCAAACGGAGTCCAGGCCCTCACCATTGTTAAGAGCAGCGGGGAAAGACCAGGAGATGTTGTGCAATTTAAGTGCGTAGGAGAAGTTGAAAGCATAAATGGTGTTCCAAGCCAAGTATGTTCGTTTTATTTTTTAAATAATTTTTTAAAATGTTTTTCAATAGAATTCATTTACAAATAATCAATGAGACAAAGAACATAGATTTTTTAACTACATAATTCAAATATTGGATCAAAACTTAGACATGATTAACATGTGATAAATACTGAAATATGAGGATATAATAAACAGCGAAAATATTTAATTTACAAACTTTGTTTGATATTCCTTTATTCAATTCACTGAGTCTTAGTTTGGCTAATTCCTAAGTGTTTGTTTAATATATAATTATAGAAAACTAAAATGGGAAATGTTCCGTCTATATGATTAATATTCGGGGCTATAAATACCATATATTGGATGTTTTCTATTGGATAAGAATGTTTATTTCTCTGGGCCATTTCATTCCAGCTCTGGAATTTCCATTTTTGTATTTCTCCTTTAGAGATTTATTTTGTTTGTAAATCGCGTTTTAATTTGCAATTTCACCTTTTCATTTCTTCTGATTTCTTTTATTGACATCTTGACCTTTGTTCAATAATTAGAATTATAATACATCAGGAACTAGAACATTTTTTTCTACGATATAGTAATTAAAATAAAATGTTCGTAAAAGTGCATATTAAGAGTAAATATCCATGTGCCTGTATGTCATTTTAATTTCAATGGAGACAAAATTTGGAACATTTCCTATACCCCTTAAGACGCCAATTATAATTATTTCGCATTAGAATATATTATATTTGCATTCTCTCTGTTTTCTCCCACTATGAACTTGCGATCTCCAACCGCGTTCATAGAACTACATATAGACACTTCTTACAGCTATTCCTTTTTCATACACGCACACTTCAAGTTATACTACACTTAAATAACACCTTCAGAAGTATGTATATAAAATTTTGTGCAAAAGGAATAGATATAACTTTTGAATAATATTCTCTGGAAAAAAGAAATTGAAAATAATAAAAATTGCTGACTTATATCTTTACAAATTTAATTATGTTCAAAGTATTTGATTATATAAGAAAACTTTTTAGATATTGAAAAGAACTGCCATAATTTTTTTTCTTTTCATATTTTCGCACATTTTTTTTGCAAAGAACGAGAACTCTTCACACTTCGGTGTAAAAGCAAAATTTCTTTTATAGTAGTATATCTATTTCAAGAACGATTTCAGCTCTTCAAAATAAATTTAAGAACTTTAAAAATCATAGAAAAGTATTCTTGATTTATACTCATTATCAAAGCATTCTCTGATTTCATCATGGTGTTAAATAATTGATTTTTCTAAAAGAAGATTTCAATAACTTTGAACGATGACGTTACAACTACATCAAAACAAAAATCAAGGCACAGCTTGTATCCAGATAATTGTTAATACTTTAAAAATAGTTTGTAATTTATTAGAGAAAAGTTGCATTAATCATGTCTACTGATTCTATAGCCGTTTTTTTTTCTGAAGACAAGGAGCGGAGCCTTGTCCTTATGTAAACTAGTATTTCCTCTGATAATATTCTCGACAACATCGGAGGATGCAAATATAAGTAATAAACAATGATTATTAAGTGAACATGGCATTATTTATAGCAATAGCTTTATTGGCATATTTTCCATGAAGCGCTAGCGCGCATTATGCCAGCAGAGCAATACGCAAGTTTCAAGATTATCTCCCTTGGTGCACTCTTTCGTTAAGGAGTGGAGTTTCGTTACCGCGTAAACAGACAGGTGGGACAGTTATTTATATACTGGATACAATGCATCATCGATAAACTGAATTATCATAACTAAATGATTGTCATGATACCCTCTACAACTCTAGAATAACCGAATTAATATAGAGGCATCATTATTTTAAGCAAAAATTGTAACAAAAAAAATTATCAGTGGATGTGAGACATTTCAGACGAGGAAAGATATATGGACCTCTGAAAAATACGATACATATACATCTGATCATTGCACATCGGCAGTCTAAATAACATATTGATTCTTTTCCTTATTATAACTTTTAAAAACCCACTTACTTTTTAGAAAATGTGTGTACAATCAAGAAATTCAGTTTCTCTTTATAAAGACAACGACATTTCTTTCGTTTTCAAGAACCCAGTAAATTTATAAATATGCATAATTGAGCTTGATAAAATCATCAAATGCATCACTGCTCAACATTATTTTTTTCTATAACATTTAAAAAAGATTTAAAAGCCATAAATACCGTTCATTTATTTATGCACATATTTATATAGAAACAACCTGTCCCACCTCCGTGGTGAAATGGATACTTTTTGCGCCTCTTTCGTAGGAGAGTTACAAACTCAAACTGGCGTATTGCTATTCATAAAGCCATGTTCATTGAATAAAGTTGATTATTTCTTAAATGATTCAAATTATATCGTTTAAACTTGAAAGTGAATATTAACTTTCTTAAAAGAACATCAGGTGGTGCAAGAATATGTCTGGAAAATTTACTGAAATATCTCTACAAGACCATCCATTCACCGCAGTAGTATCTAGCAGCAAAGATGGATGCATGCCTATACAGCAATCGGAGATCTTTTACCACATCATGCAAAGTGATGCATACTTAGAAATAATGTGTGAATCGGGTTACAACAAATACACAAGTGAATGTGGAAAAGGAACAGCAAATTCGACGATATTTTTAAACACAAAAACTTCGACTGAAGGTGATTTTTTCTATGAAATTTTATTTTAAAGGTTTTATATAACGCAAAATTATTTCAGTTTTTTCATCTTTGTTTTGAAATTACATAAAGCAGTGGGACAGTGGAAGGTATATCCTATCTTGAAATACGACGAGACGGAAGTTATAGATGAACAATATTTCAACACTCAAGGAATTGGAAGAACCATTCATCTGTTTTGTAGTGCTTCCTCCTTCACATCGAACGAACAGGTAAATCCGTCCTATAAATATACAGAGAGATAAAATAAAATCCATATTATTTTTTGCTTGGCTGAATATTATAAAATTATATCAAATTATATCAGATGATCAGAGGTTCTTCCTGGTTACTGTGCACCAAGGACACGTAATAAACACAATCATCGATATTGAAATGTATGTTGTCTTGGGGGTAAAGCGGTAGAAGCAAAATACACGTGCACATTATAATACCGAGTTATAGAGTTACATTTTAAGTATTTCTTTAATTCGACCTTTTCGACATTTACTGAATTTCTAGACAGTTTATTATATTTTTTCCACGAAAAAATATTTACCTTATTGCCAGATAGGAATTTGAATGAGGTTGATGACATAAACGCGTTACAGTGCCAATTTAAATTAAAATAGAACTATTCATTCTGCAAACTTATAATTTCTTAGATGTTACCATAGAAACAGATATGTAGTTTACAGAAGACAATCAATAACTTGTAAAATAAAATTTTACTCGAGAAAGTGACTATTCCTAATTCTCAAGCTTGTTCACTCTGGTACCATTTCGCCGGGGTGTGTCAAAAGTTTCGAAAATTCCCATTAATGAGACTGGGGTGTGGCAGCCATTTTCAGACTATTTTTATCTCCTTTAAAAGGATAGCTCCATAAGAAGATATAGAAAATGATCAAATTTCAAAACTAAAATGCATGATTTTTTTCTTTGTGAAATAAAAGTAGACAGCTTAAGTTACCGTATCTAAAAAAATAAGTTAAATCTGGTGGTTAATTTGTGATTAATTTTTTGACCCCCCAGCCTCCTTAACCGATTTTTTTTTACTTTTGTCTACCACCTTTTTCACCGATGGAGCATCTTGGCGACTAAATATGCAGTACTGGGTTTGAAGACGTTATAATGTCCCAGATTCTCTCGACTAAGGCTAATCATGTCGAATGGGTTGAACGATATCCCTATCAGAAAGATGAGTGCATCAAACAGGTTTTATTTCTAACAGATATATAGGGGAAAACACCCGGCTTATCTATGATATAATGCAGTACACTGAGGAGGAAGAAATTCCTGGTCTTCTACTACTTATTGATTTTGAAAAAGCCTTCGATACTGTTTCATGGGAATTCATACAAAAAACCTTAACATATTTTCAGTTTGGACCTGATATACACAAATGGGTAAAATTATTCTACCATAATATAACTTCTGCTATTAATCAAGGTGGCAATCTCTCAGCATCCTTCAATATCCATAGAGGCTGTAGACAAGGGGATCCGTTATCACCATATATTTTTCTATTTTGTGCAGAAATTTTAGCTATACAAATAAGAGAAAATAAAAAAATTAAAGGAATAACTGTATGTAATAATGAAAAGAAAATTTCACAACTAGCTGATGATACCTCAATTATCCTTGATGGTAGCAAGGAGTCACTTTTAGAAACAATCAAAGTATTATAACATTTTTTAGATATATCGGGACTAAGAGTTAATTTTTCGAAAACCAATACAGTATGGATTGGATCAAAAAAATATAGTCAAGATATCATTTATAGAGATTTTAATCTGAAATGGGGGACTAATAGATTCACTTTACTTGGAATTAATTTTGATGTAGATCTTCAAAATATGTCTAAATTGAATTATCAGCCAAAGTTAAGCAGAATAAAATCAATCTTGCATCAGTGGGAGAAAAGACACTTAACACCAATAGGAAAAATCACTGTTATAAAAACTTTGGTTCTGCCTTTATTAAACCATATTTTTATGGCAATTCCAAACCCAGATGACAATTTTTATAAGGAGTTGGATAAAGTTTTTTTTTTCCTTTCTGTGGAACCACTCTCAACATAGAATAAAAAAGGATGTAATTGTTAAAACATATGAAGATGGGGGATTAAAGATGATAAATGTAAAGGCTTTTACATCTTCCTTAAAATTATTTTGGATGCGAAAACTCCTATTGTCAAATAGAGATCTACATGATTTTATACCAATAGTAGATATCAATAAAGTTGCAACATGTGGAATTGAATATATTAAAAATATTAAAAAATCACTAAAAAACAAATTTTGGGTGGATGTATTTGACTCATTGATTGAGCTACATCATAAAAAAAACCCAACTGCAGTTAGATCAAATGCTCCTCTTTTTTATAATCCCAACATCCTTGTTGGGGGGAAAGTATTTTTCAATGAATCCATGTTTGATGCTAATATCCGATACATTAATGATGTTATAAATGAAGAGGGAGGTTTCTTGACTTATGAATCTGTTTGTGATATATATCCACAAGTGAAAATTAATTTTTTAGAATATATGAGTATTATAAGTGCTCTTAAAGCATGGATGAAAAAAGCGAATTTTGATAGAAGTGTAACTAAGTCACAAAACCCTCTGGTCATGTCGAATATAAATACTCTTTTAGAATGCAAAAAATCAAGGCAATTTTATAATTTTCTCAACCAAAATAGTACAGAACCTACTGGTAAAAGAAAATGGAATGAAATATTTGAACTGAACGACAAAGAATGGAAATTGATTTTTAAATTGCCTTTTAAAGTTACAAACAATTGCAAATTGCAATAGTTCCAGTACCGAATTCTGAACAAAATTTTGGCCTCAAACTCATATCTATTCAAAATCAAAATCACAGACAACAAAAACTGTACCCTCTGTCAAGTAGAAGAAGAAACAATTGAACATTTGCTTTGGGAGTGTGATCATGTACAAGATTTTTTAAGAGAATTTGAAAATACCTTGAAAATAAAACAAATCTTCAGATATCGGTAACAAAAAATAATTTCATTTTTGGATTCTTAGATAATAGGAAAAAGATACAAAATAATCTTGTTCTATGGCTTAAATATTATATCTACACAATGAGGTGCACAGGGAAAACACTTAATGTACCTGCTGCGATATCGCTTATGAATACATTTTATGAAACTCAAAAATATATTGCATACAAAAATGGTGAAAAGGATATGTTTGATACCTGCTGGAACTACTGGAAGCTTTTATTTCAATGAATATTTAGATTAATATAAATATTGTGGATGCATGCACTCCTCTCTCTCTTCTCCCCCTCCCTATCTTTCTCTCCCCTCTTCTTCCCCCTCCTCTCTCTCTCTCTCTTCTTTCCAAAATGAAAAAATTACACCTTCTGTATTTGTTATTAATCATTTATTGTATTAAATAACAGAATGTGTAAAACAAAAATAAAGAATTATAAAAAAAAAAAAAAAAGATGAGTGCATCAAAGAACTCCAAAGAGATGAGAATATGATTCTGACAGACACATATGGCGATTATGATATTTTTATGTCTAAAGATCGAAAGATCCAGGGGGTATGTTGTTCTTGTCCTGTCTGTCTGTTTATCTCTCTGCCTGTTTCAACTTTAACCTAGCGCATAATTATTGAATGGGTAGAGCAAGGGCTTTCATACTTCACAGGTTTATTCGTTGTGACAAGACCTTTCAACTGATATAAATATTTTTTGACCTTGGCCTAACATTTTGACCGACTTTTTAAAAACTTTAGCCTTGGTCATGACTTGGTAACAGCTAGAACTAGGCTTTGGGTATTTCACAGGTGTATTCCTTGCAACAAGACATTTTTTGGTATCAACACTTTTAACTTGACTTGTATTTGAGAGAATTCAATCCTTGCCGTTAGCTGCTATACAGGGGCATAAATGTTTCACAAACACATCTAGTTTACAATTTTCTATATCGGTTGTATCCCCTTATAAATTTCAGTATCACATGAATAATAACTGTATACGAAATGAGAATTTGTTATACTAGCTGAATGAAGGTTAATCTAATTATGTAAAGCTTCTCCCGTGAGTAATTTCCTTATCTTTCTTAGCCGATGAACTGGTGCGTAAAAAAGACAGATGATGCTAACTGGACAAAAGTTGTCACGCAAGAAGATGCAATAAAATCTTCAGCAAATAAAAGTGGTGGAGAAATGATAATGTTCAGTCAAATTACTTATCATGTAACGGAGTACGACAAGGTTCTTCATTTTACCTGTGAAGTTTCTAATTTCTCTAGCAGCCCCTGTGGATCTGGACTAAATTTTTCTCGTCTTACAATTCGGATAAACGGTAAATACAGCCTGTATCTAACATTTTATCTGTGTAAAATAATTCAATAACAAAGGATTTTAATCAATATTTATGGAGTTTGTCCGAAGATGGCTATGTTCCTTTCTGAGAGATTAATTATTTGATACAATTTTTCCCCTTCAATTTAAGCTACAAACTGTTTATTCAATCTAAAAATGAATACATATGCATAATAAAACAAATAATGACGCATTGTCTTAATTTATGTGTCGTAAAAAGTACATGTAATTATTTTTCATATAGATTTACTATTATTTATTTGATTTTTTTTTTCTTTATGAATATAGAGATATTTTGGCTTTAATTTCAGCCCATCAAACAATGCCATCTGAAAAGGAAAGTGCCGCCACTGTGGCTGTTATATCTGTCTTTCTGTGTTTGATTTTAGTTGCAATAACGGCTCTTGTAATAATCATATACAGAAGAGGAGAAATGACAGTATTTGGTAATTTTATGCTAGTTTAAAATCAATTGATGTTTGAAATATAAATACGAAAAGCCCTATGTTAATCTATCGGACTATGCTTTGAAATGAATTAGACACTTTGCAAAAGTTAATGCAGCAGTAATTCCATTGCCTTTTTTTCAAGATGAAAACATACACAAATATAAAATAATACTGGTAAACTACATGTTAAGCTTCCTTTTTTCAAATTAATTATTATTTTTAGGAATTGCGATCAAGATTGAAAGGTACGTACAATCATTATCATTGTTAGATTATTACAGAACTTAGGCGATTTAACAGTTTGGTTTAAATATTATAATCCTTAGAATGCAGAATATGTAATTAAAGTCATTTAATGATAAATTTAAAGATTTATTTATCATATACACGTACTTTTGATTGCTTGATACTGTAAACCAAGTATTATACGCGTGCGATAAATATCCGCGAGTTCCGCGAGTAACCTCTGCTCGCGGATATTTATCGTCGCGAACCAGTTGTTCATTATATTCCCATATCATTATTTATTTAGAGTTATTTGCCCTTTTTTCAATACCGACCCCGACAATTCAACAAGTAATCACGGAAAAACTTTACTGTTAGTGTACAAGAAGCAGTTGAAATTTCATTACAAACATTCAGAAAAAATAAAAAATAAAATTATTTGTCTAAAAATGATTAAAATGTCAATAATCATTTCAGCTTGTGTTATTATTGTTCATTTATTGTTACAGACGAGTCAGAGATAGCCTGGTTAATTACGGCTAATTATGGCCCAGTCCTGCTCTGTCCCAACCATTTATCATAATAATAATTGCCCCTTGGCTGTGTAGATCTTAGAAAGCGTCGATTACCCAATTAGTATGAGGCACTTTTACAATTGAGAGTTTGAAATCAATTTTAATCTCCTAGATTTTCCCCCGATTTTCGTTTGGGCGTTGTGAAAATGCGTATGAAGTATACTCATGGTAAACATTTTATCTACTGTAGGGGCGGATATAAGATTTTAAATGGACGCAATGCACAGAATGTCTTGAATAATGCGTAAGCAGACCTCACGCTACCATTTTACCTAGTTTATGGGCGGATATAAAATTTTTATTTGATTCAAAATTACTCGTGGAAATAAAAAAAAATGTGACTACTTGTTCGCGGAAATAAATCGTCGCGGATAAGTTCTCGGGCGGTCAGTCGTGAATAAAAAATGACGCGTATAATAATTGGTTTACAGTATTATTAAAGTTGTTATCTATAATTGAAATATTACCGGTAAACATATGCGTACAATCCAGGATCAGCAACCGATTTCAACTGCCAGAGGACGGGAACAAAGTTATTGCAGGTTAGATGTACATTATTATGCATTGAAAAGTAGAGATAAAATAAATCATTTTAATATTCGTAGAGTTGAGATTAAATGAATTATTTTAATATTCGTAGAGTTGAGATTAAATGAATTATTTTAATATTCGTAGAGTTGAGATTAAATATATCATTTCAATATTCGTAGAATTATATTGGTTTTATAAAACAATGCTTATTAGAGTTCAATGAAAATATAAGAATTATTCAGAAAATGCAATGCAAGATTTTCAACGTATTTTTAATATGATTAATATGGACAATCCTAGAACCTAAATATCATATTATAAATGTGCTTTTTCAGAGCCTTCTCAAGCAAACTCATCGCAAAGGTATATTGTTCTAATAAGATTTCATAAAAGAAAGGATTACAAAGTTTACTGTTCAATGAAAATACTTTTATCATATAAAATGATTTTCATTTATGTATGTCTTTGTATTCAATTTACATGTATTCAAATATCAACTTTTCACAGAATATCACAGTCAAGCATACGATATATTGATGAGCCAATCCAAATCAATTCTCAGATTGATGAAAACAAGACAGGTATTTTTTTTTATTCCACAATTTATTTATTTGTTTAAAATATGTTAATTAATTATTTTGCTTACACTTTACAAGGACATAACTTTATTGTGCATGGTCTGTACATGTCTCTGTTATAAATTATCATTTTAATTCAAAGACAATGCCAGGAAAGTAAAATATTTTTATTCCTTTATTATGCTCTTTTGAGAATTTTTTGTTATTTCTACACTTCCTTTTTAGTTTTTTTTTATTTTCCCGAGAATATTTTTACATTAGTTTTTTGTGTAACGGTTTAGCATTCCAAAAGAGAAAAAGATGGAATTTAGAATAAAAGTGATAAAAGAAAAAAGTAAAAAAAAAAAAAAGTGATTCTTTCACTTTGAAATATATTTTTGTTTTGTCAGAGCATAAAGGTCAAAGAGATTCTGAAGATAATATTCAGTAAGTACCAGTGAAATTGTGAAGCCATTTTGCCTCATTAATATTTTTTTTTTAAATTTTAATCATTAAATTGTTCAACACTTGTGCAGTTTAATTCATACTAAAGAATTAATTTTTTTGCTCCAGGGGGTTGTACGAAGAACCAGACTGCACTATGGCGGTTCAAAGACAGAGTGTGTATGAAAATGAATTGATGAAAGATGAGATTTTGAATGAAGGAGAAAAACTGAAACAACAAACTGAATCAAAAATGTAAGTGACAAAAAACATGTTTCGAATCATCATTAGATAATTATCTGTTTGTGTAGGAAGCTATTGCTAATATGAAATAATATAATTTAAAACGTATTAATATCTAAACCCTTCCATTACTCAGAGCATAAGATTATGATTTTTGTTAAATCTTCACATTCAGAGGGATCATACTGAATAACATTTCGGTGTCAATTATTGTCATCAATTTAGTGATTTGAATAGAAAAAAAAAACAATTTAATCAAACTTTGCCGTTGCAATTTAATACTTATACTTTGTTATAAAATCTACTTTAATTCAAATTGAATCAAAATATATACTTTCTTTTGTGCGACAGATGTGACTATGATGAGCTGCACATTGAAGAAGAACAGCAAAACTACGAAGATCTAGACTTAAAACAAGTGCATACACGTTCAAAAGAAAAGACTCGCGAAAAGAACGAGTCTTTTCTTTTTTCCTGAAAGTAGAACACATACAAAATTAAGCATCTGAATCATAAAACATTGAACACTTTCTAGGAAAAGTTATAAAATGTTTCCTTGAGAAAAGAACATTACTTATCTTGTATCTATCAATGAAATGTTCAGTTATGTACTATTTTAGATTCATGACTTGGTTTGTAGGTATATATTTTGAACAATCTTTTTTTACGTTTATGAAGAAAAGAATAATATAAAGATGTAATTAATGTCCACAAATGTGTATAATGATAATTCTGAGCAATTAAAAATGACATTATTTTGACTTGGATGGACACCCCTCCCCCCTACCTTGAAGAAAAACGTTTACATTTATTAAACTTTTTTGGAATTGTTCATTTAAAACAATGGATCCCTGTCTTGGGATCACGAACTGTGCCGATTCAAGGTTACAGGCGTTATTTGTAATAAAAGTTTGCTTCTTTTGACTTGGAAATATTCCCTTCTGATGGCAAGAGTTGTAATACGAATAGGTAAATGATGGACATGGAGATAATTGATGAAATTTTTAAAAATGCAATTTTTTTATTTTATACACTTAAAAATTTGGATAATTGTGTCATTATGTAAGCATGTGATGTAAAAACCTGGGGTTAGAACCACATATACAATAAAATGCATAGCAAATATATATATTCAGCTCCTTAAGGTAGATAAGAGTTAATTGGTTATGTTAATGTCTCTTGTATGTGAAAATATTTTTCCGAGGCTTTAACACTAATTCTAATATAGATAAATTTTCTGCTCCTTAAAGCTTAAGAATATACTTCTTTTATGTAGAGAATAATAGCATATTACAGTATTATACATGTACATGAATTAGTTTCTGTATCAGATATCGAAACACCAATATAATCTAAAGGTCATGCATGTTCAGTTTACTTTGTAATTTCTATATTGCCGACATTGAAAGTTAGATAGTTTTAACACGACATGTATTTTAAGGTTATTATTTCTATATTGTCATTGTCAACAATGCAATATCGACAATATTGACACGATATTTTGCTTACGTCGTCTACATTATTTTCATTCGCTCTGTTGACATCGCAATAAGACAATGCTGAGTGTATATCGTCTTTAATAATATAATTTTCATTGTATAGTTAATATTGCAATGTAAACAATGTTGATTGATCCTGAGTTAATATCCTCAAACACTACAAACCTGACCATGTGAACGATGTTAAGAACCTCACAGAATGCAATGTCGACGAGGTTGACTTGATATCGTCCAACAATATTGCAATATCAACAATGTAAACAAAAGAATAGGATATACAATGTTGAAAAGATATCTACTTAGTCTGTTAGTCATAGCGATGCCGATAGTATAAACGATGTGACCATGAAAACGGGAGGCATTGTTAACACGATGTCTTCACGATATCGTCGTCTAAAATTGCGATGTCGACAATGTTAACGATGTAAACAGAAAGAAAATCAGAAGGCAATGCTGACCAGCTGTTCTAATAACGCAAACAGAGATGACGAAATTGATAAAGTGCTCAAAATAAGTGCAGAATTAACAAATTGACATGATTTGATGTCATCCAACGTTAAGATCTTTTAAAAGTTACAGTAACAAAGCTACATTAACTCATACGAGGAGCAATGTGTAAATGTTTGTTATGCTTTAAGTGGTATATTAACAGCGATAATGACAATACCAATTATACATCGAGCACTAGACATAAATATGTACATTCTAAAAGTCTGAAAAGAATGAGTTTTACAATATTTTACATGCTATTTGATGATATTTTTTTGGAAAGTATTGCAGATATTTTATATATATAGATGTTACCCACATGTCCACATTAGGGCATGTAGATCAAACATAGCTTTTTTTCTTTCTTTTATTTATTTATGTATTTTTTTCTAAAAAAAAAATTAATTAATTAATCAAAACAATACACGAGACTTTAAGAATTAAAGAAAAAAAAGAAAACCTTAACGACACACTGGAGCTTATTTTATTTAAATACCCTTTTTGTTTTCAAATATTTTTTTAAGTAAGTTTTATTTATTGATGTGGAAAGACAACATATTATATGTATATTGTTGTGAATACACTATGACTTATTCTGCATTTTAAGTTTGTTTACTGAATGTATTTAAATCTCTGTTGAATTGCTGATTCACGTATATACTTTGCATAGTTATTGCAGAAAGATATTAACCTACCGAAGCATATCTTCCCTGTTACGGGTTGTTACCTGTACCGCTCCAATTTAAATCTCAGGTCAACAAACGTCGCAAAAAGTCTTTTCTATAAAACGTTTTGCCGATTGACATCTCATAGAATTTTATTTCCAGGTGGTAGCTATGTATACTTTGATTTTGTTTATCATCATCTTTCCAGTTTGTCAAGGTAACCCATTCATTTTACAGTTTATAAAAGTTAATACTTTTTTATACTAAAGATTGAATATTTATTGATCATATGCTGTAGATGTTTTGAATGTGCCGTGCACGATATTGGTCATATATTTATTTTTCAGCAAATTAGCGTGCTTTTAATTTAGCGCAATTTTGATTTGCTAGATGTAAACGTATAATATACATGATATTTAACGATGTAATTAATTTAGCATATACCGCTTTTAGCCAGAATTGCTAAAAATAGAATACACCGCCAAATGTTGTATGTTTACAGTATTGGGTACAGGGCGATGGGGCATGTCTGCCTACCCGCCGACTACCATGCGAGGAAATAGTGTTAGCATATATTGTTATTACAACATGAATACAGACAGGATAATTCCTGAAATGTTTATGGAAATCCGGAAAACTAAAAACAGTGACTGGAAGGTAATTGCAAAGACTAACACTACAGGATCCTATCTCCTTGTGCAGGATCCGGATCGACAAAATTATTCAATATCATCATTCTACGGTTGTTATCGTGGATTTAGGTGTGGTATCAGGATATTTGTATCCTTTGGATTGAGCAGTTGTACGGTAGATCCGGACCTCTACTCGATCTTCAGATGTAAAGTTTCCAACGGAAGTCAGACTTTTAAAAGCAGCGAGAAAAGTTTTGTGTCAACAAAAGGTGAGTTTGCAAGCACTAAATAATTTTTGAAATATAATGTGCAGAGTATAAGAAATGAAACACATAAAAATAACACACATTATTAAAGATCAAAAGTCGATTAAACAATACGAAATAGGAGCAGAGTAAACATGAACCTCCAAATCATCAGAGGTGGGATCAGGTGTCAAGGAGGAATGAGCATCCCCTGCTGACCCGTTACACCTGCCGTGTGCTTTTTGTCATGATTGGGAATTAACGGAAATATCTGTCATCAATTCAGTCAATACATGTATTTGTATCCTTACAACAGTGTTTTGTATTTGCTTTACATTTTATTGAGCCTGCAATATTGTTTTTCAACGTATTTCATCCATTAAAACATTAAACCGGAACTGGCTCATTTAGATAATTGACTTTGGAAAAATTCATCAAAAGTATACTGTATACAGGGTTATTTTCGCCCCGTGTTATTTTCGCCCTTTTACACTTATGAATAAATTTTGCCCATTTTATTTTCTCCCAAACACAGTTATGTTTAAGAATTAATACTGTGTTCTTTGAATTCGCCCCATTTTAAATTCGACCACTTGTAAAGAGGGCGAAAGGGGCGAAAATAAAACGAAGGCAAAAATTTCCCTGTATACAGTAAATTCAAATGAAGTTAATTTTTCAAGAATAGCAACAATTTTTTGAAAAGTCTCCATTTCGAAAGTTGGTCGATACAATGATCGATAATGTCAGCAAATATAATCTATCATGAAGTAAAATTCTCCTGCAGAAAGTTTTTCACAACTTGCTAGGCCATTTTTGACACACTGATTTATCTCCGGATTTTTCCAGGTTTTTTGCGATGTTGACAAGGAGAATGGGTGAACGAATGGATGATCTTTTTCAGAAATTTAGGCCATATATTCTTAACCTTATTTCTAGAATCCCATGTTGTGTGAACTAAAATCTGGTCACGCTACAATTTTTTAAAAGCAAGAATCGGGTCACAATGAGAAGTGATAAATTTTTATTATGGCATTAAACTTTGCTTCTGGACAGCCATATCATTTTATTAGAATGATATTGAAATTCTCATGCCGTGCAACTTAGGGTTTGTTAAACTCCATAGTCTTTGAGATAAGGTAAGGCTCGGTAACACGGTTAAAAGAAACTTCTTTCAAAAGCATGGTATGTATTACTTAATTAAATGGAGGTTAATTGTACGATCTATGGTCAACTTTGATTTTTGTTCTTTACGTTTTTGTTACTATAATTACAAGTACAAATGTGTACTATCATATTATAGGTCAGATTCCTTCAGAAATGCAAACTCCAAACATTATTAAAAGCAGTGGTGAAATACAAACGGGTGGTAAAGATCCTTTCAGACCCGGAGATGTGGTCCACCTGCAGTGTGAAGGAGAAGTTGAGAGTGTTAATGGCATACCTAGCGAGGTAGGTGAAATGTGTATATTCTGTAATGAAAAAGAAATGTCTTGATGCTAAACACTAAACGCTGGTCTCTAATGCGACCGTTCCGGTACCTCAGTTGGTAGAGCGCTCGCCACGTGATCGGGAGGTCGTGAGTTTGTATCTCGGCCGCGACTGACCCAGTCGATAAAAATGGGTAGCAACTGTTCCTTCGTCATGATCTCAGCATTTTGAAGTGAAAGTTGCGGGTCCTTCGGATAATACCTTTAAAAAACCGAGGCCCCGTGTCAGCGGTATGCGTTGGCACGATAAAGATCCCTCACTGCTCAATGGTCCTAAGTCAGTGCCAGGTAAAAGTCAAAATTTGAAGCCCTTAAAATTCACCGGCATACAGTGACGTCTCCAAATAAGTGAAAAATTATCGAGAGGGACGTTTAACATTATACAATCAATAAATCAATCCTTACATTATTACAATTCAGATAACATGTATTAAAATCAAAACGAATCAATAGTTCAACAAGCTATTGTTTAATTGAAGGACTGATAGAAATGAAATAATTTTTTCTTGTAATTCATAATAATTTGAAAATTTGCTTTTATTTTCCAAGTATATAAGGTGGTGCAAGAAAAAATTAGGAACATTTGATGAAATACCTTTACAAAATCCCCCAAACTCCGGTTTGGTATGGAGCAGCAAGGATGGTTGCACAAATGTGCAGAAATCGGAAATATTTTACCATATCATGGAAAGTGATGCACATCTGGAAATTATGTGCGAATCCGGATACAACATACGTAGGAAAAAATGTGGAAATGGAAGTGCAAACTCGACAATTATATTAAATACAAACATCAAAACAGACGGTAATTATTATAATTTATAGTACAATTTCGAAAGCAAGCTATTGACAAAAATTTAATAAAGTAATGATACAATGATATTAAAAGTTTCATTTGAAACTCAAAATGAATTTCACACAAAAAAAGAATGATCTTTTGAGCTTATTTGCTTTGCAGTTAGTTTTTTCATAATTAATTGTGCAAAACTATGAAAGGTAATTTAATTGTGAAAAAAATTTGATTCGTTTCTTTTTGATTTTGTAATCTTCATTGATTTGAAACAGAAGGCCGATGGAAGGTATCTCCTATTCTGATGTTCGACGGAAATGGAGTTATAGATGAACAAAATGTCCTAACACATGGACTTGGTAGAACATTTTATCTCACATGTAGCGCATCCTCATTTACATCTGATGCACTGGTAAATTAAATAAAAAATAAATTATACATAATTAATTATAATCTAATTAGGGAACAGATTATATTTTCATCGTGTTTTCTTGGGAACTTACATGTACACTACTTAATTTGGTTCTTTTTTCCTAGCATTTTTATGATGAAGAACAATAAATGAATGAAATAGATTTATTGTCATTATGTATTTTCTTTACAAAAAAAATCGCTGGCTTTTGATTTTATTAAAGCTTTTACATTCTTTTACTTATTGTTTTATGAAGGCAATCAACTGGTGTGTTAGAAAGACAGACACTGCAAAGTGGATCAAAGTTGCTACACAGGAAGAGGGAATGACGTCATCAGCAAGCAAAAGTGGAGAATATATAGTGTTTAGTAGAATTACTTATCACGTAACGAAGTACGACAAGGTTCTGCACTTTCTCTGTGAAATTCCTCTGTCATCCTCAAGCCCATGTGGTTCAGGATCAAGTTTTACAAGCCTCTCATTAGTAATAAATGGTAATGCATGCATTATTTTGAGACTTGATCAAATAAAAATATTTTAATTAATAGTTATTTCTTCTTACACGTGCCTTAATACAGAGTTGTACTTTATTGAAAAAGGAGTTATTAAATATAAGTAAAAAAAAGAGTACCTGTTTACTAATATACCTGTCGTTTGGTTTAGATTCATTACAAAGTTTGTGGTATACGATGTTGTAATCCTTTTTCTTATTGTTGTGCATTTGTGCATTTTTGCTCTTTATGTGATATATAAACAAAATTTTACTTTTAAAGCTCAACAAACTGCAACATCCGACCTCAACACATATTTTGTCTCTACAGCAGCTTTATCCGTTTTGCTGTGCTTAGTTCTAGTTACAGTAGTGGTGCTGGTCATTATTACGTTCAGAAGAGGAGGACTGACGATATGTGGTTCGTCATCTTTTCTCTTCAACACCTTTAATGGCTTTCATAAGTCTTTGCAAATAATGTCATCAAACTTAAGTATGGTAAATTAAATATATATCAAATAATCTGGAATTTTTTTTACACTTTTTATAGGATTTGTTTTCAATATTCAGAGGTGTGTATAACATTAATTTTGTGATTTTTTTTTTATACAAATTAAATACATGAAATTTATTAATTATTGTGAATACAGAATATACAATAAGACTTTTTCAAAAATTGTAAATCAATTTCAGAAGCAAATATGAATATGAAGTGACAGAAGATAAACATAAAAGTACATCCGGTAATAATTTTCTATAGATTTTGATTTCAGAAGATATTGAGAAAGCTTCATAATTTTAACAATATGTATTATTTTGAAAAATGAACAATTTAGAAAATAATTTTGATAACTAGCATAGTTTTTTACATGGTCTTCGTGTGCATGCAGTTTTAATCGTTATTTTGTTTTGCAGGATCCTCACAAGTAATGACCTCAAAAAGGTTAATTTTTTATGTCATTTACAAAAGAGTTGTGTAGATAAATGCAAATATAATTGTGCAGTTATATGTTTGTTTGTTTTTTTTTTTTTTTAAAAACAAACAAAACAATTTGCTGATTTATTGATGAGGAATTTCTTAATCAAATTTCTTGAACATAATTATACCTTGCAATTCAATTATTTATATATGTCAGGTTTTTTGGTTTAAATTTCACTTTAAATTGATCTTGTACTCAAAGTTGATGAATATTTTAAAAATAAAAAAAAACATTTTTCAATTGATTATAGTTTTATTATGTACAGTACAAGTACATGTAACTTGAAACATTATTTTCCGCAGTGTATCTCAGCCAAGATATGTACGACATGGCAAAGAACCATTCAGAAAGAGTGACAAGCATGGAAAAGGTTTTCTTCTCTTTAATTACAAATCTTTCATTCTTTTTTCTAATTTTCATTTGATTGGTCAAAGGACGAGGTATGGTAACAAAATTCCTTATTTGGCGTAAGAACACGGGAAAAAAATTGAATATTTTAATTCAGTTTGTTTAAAAACCAGCAATAATTTCTATTCAAAAGGTGAGAGGAGGCCAAAAGAGGTTGCCAATTTCTGACTTTTTTCATTTTTTTGTTTTCAATTCTGATGAAATTTTGCAAAGTTTTAGATAACTTTCACTTTGTAAACAATAGATCTTAATATTACCTTTTAAATGCACAAGAAGTATTTGATTTTAATGTGTGAGATAATGTTTTAATGTGTGAGATAGATAAGCTTGAACCCTGTGTATTTTGGCGGGAAATGCATAAACATTTACGAAAATGTGCATTAAAAATGAAAAATAAACATATTTCTATATCTTGTGGTGCCATTCTGCAAGAGAGATGGTAATAGATTTGTAATGATTTTAGCCTATTTTATCTTTATCTTTTTATGTATTTTTAAACCTAAATAACATAGATATTTTTTAATTGATATACCCGTTTCCACAAAATGAACGATACCAATCTTACATTTTTAGGATATGACATATCATTTAATTTGCAGATGGTAGTTTTGAAAATGAAGGTTTTAACAGCGAAATTTTGAAGGAAGAAGATACATTAAAATACGAAAGTGAATCAAAAATGTAAGCTACAATACTTGTATAATATTAAAATTATTACTTTATAACATTCTAAAGCATATTTTCTGTGTGGTAGAAAACAGTCTGTGTGCTAGACAAAAAATCATATTACTATATATATTCATCTATTTATATCTCTAGGTATCAATGAAAAACAAAACATTGAAAAAGATAATAATTAAATTCTATCATAGTAATGAAGAACATGTATAATGATTCTGTTCTCAGTTCTGTTTTTAGTAGAATAAAGCAGGTAAATAAATAAATGTATTAATTGCTTTTTTGAGATTGACAAATAAATTTCATTCAAAAATCGTTGCCTGACGGAAATCGTTGTTTATTTCTTTTTTCTACAGATGTGACTTCGATGAGTTGCGTATTGAAGAAAAACAACAAGAATATGAAGAGATGAAGTTTTGAAAATATTCAATAATGATAAAAAGTATCGAAGAAGCATTTTGCATGCAGAATGGGAATGCAATCTAAAATTTTCGGAATAATAGACCACTGAACTGCACTCCCCATGAATAAACACATAAACTAGGCTGTTTCACTACTTTGAGAACACGTTCCTAAATACAACGCATATTGTCCCCTGCTTGTAAAGTGGGGGATATTAATTTGGATCTGTCCGCCCGTCTGTCCGTCTTTCTGTCTGTAACGCTTTCGTTTCCACACGATATCTCGAGAACCCTTTAAGCTTTTGCAATGAAATTTTGCATAGCAACTCCCTATGGACTAAGGTAGAACCCACTTGATTTTGAGGTCAAAAGGTCTAAGGTCAAGGTCATAAATTCGCAAATTCTGTCTATTATAACACTTTCGTTTCCTCGCGATATCTCGAGAACCCTTTGAGCTTTTGCAATGAAATTTTACCTAAAAACTCCCTGTGACTTAAGGAAATCTCCTAATGATTTTGAGCTCAAAAGGTCAAAGTTCAAGGTGGTAAATTTATATATTCTGTCTGTGTGTAACACTATCCTTTCCAGGCGATATTTTAAGAAGATTTTGAGCTTTTGCAATGTAATTTTATACCAAAACTCCCTAGGGCCTCTCTCAACCCTCTCAAAGTGTTCCGCCTCGTTTGTTTTATTAGTATTTATTGTACATGTATTACATGTCGCTATTTTTAGCACAAGGGCATGAGAAGAGTTATTATGTATTAAACAGGTTCTCAGAGGACTTTATACTCTTATTACATCTATAACAACTGTTTAAGAAAGGTCAAATTAGACACCATGCATTGTGTAAAATTTTGACAATATCGAACGTGAATATATATATGTATTTGCTTATAATTTTCGCCTGTTCAAATCGGTTCCGTGGTGTACTAGTATGTCTCTCGCTTCACATGTGAGAGGTACCGGGTTCAAATCCCGGACAATCCATTTTCTTTTTTTTCCGAAAACTTTTTTACTAAATGATAGTATTCATCATATGAAATGATAAATTTATGAGTTCTGGCTTGTACATACTCATAAAATCGTCATTACAGTGTGATAAAAATTCCAAATAAAAAGAATCTTCTATACAGATAATAAAGAATAAGCATTCAAAGAAGATGGGTGAATAAGGCGGGCAGAATGCCTATAGTGCGACAGATAAGAAGTGAAAATTTTAATCTTAATTGAATCCAAATTTTACTTGATATTTCATCTAATATTGAAGTATACTTTATGTAAAATCTCTACAATTTACAAAAAGCACACAAAGACTGAAAATATTTGCCTATGAAAATGCTTACACACACTAAAAAGAACAAAAACGATCATTTTCTCATACTTAAACAACATTTTTCAATATGGGTTGTTCTTCTCTCCATTTTTTTTGAAAGATGATCCAAAAAGTGTGCAATAAAATACACATTTTTTGGTTTAAACATGGAGCGAAGACCCACTATAAAAGTACACTTTTATAACACAACATTCGCAGCTTTACAAGAAATACTTCAAGTCCATTAAGTCTAGTGTCATATCACAAACATAATTTAAATGCCTAGAATCACCATGAGCGGTGTAGCATAGTGGTTAACGTGTTAGTCTCAAAGCAGTATGGTATTGATACATCGGATTTTTTATTGCTAGGGTTCGAATCCCACGAATACCATCTAATAATTATATGAAAGAAAATTTTTTACGAAATTCTTTCTCCCTCAGAAAAGTTTTTTTTTTCTCATAATTTCAAAATTTTCAATAATTAGAAGTTATTTAAAAAATCAATTCACATATCTAATACGACTTCTCAATATCTGACGCTATAGGCATTATGCCCGCCTTGTTCACCATCTTCTTTTTATATCCATATCGGCATATTTTATTTGCTCAAGTTAACATGTATACATTAAATAATTCTACAAATTCAGTCACGGGGATCCGACTCCTCTCTCCCTCTCTCCGAGCTACGCATGGTTTACTTTTTCCCTAAGCGGGGGGACACGAATTCTCTGAATTAGCTTGTTGTGTATATACTAGTATACTGTATGTATTTTTTAAAGTAAATGTTTCAAAACGACGTGTGTATTTTGTCTATTTCAATTCAATTTTAAATGAAAATAAATCGATTTATTGTGCTGTCAGATTTCCCGAAGCCCTTGCCATTACAAGGAGCACAGGGCGGATTTGACTGGTCAGCAGGGGATGCTCATTCCTTCATGGCACCATATCTCACCTCTGCTGTTTTGGAGGTCCGGTTTTGCTCTGCTCTTATTTTGTATTTTTGATGGACTTTTGATCTTGTATACTGTTCGTTTTCTCCATATATTTTGTGAATCATAAACATCTATCAATGTCATAGTAAATGAGTTCTTACCTAAATATTTTTTCCTATTAAGCTAAGTACTAAGAAAATTATTAAAACACGCCTAAAATAGCCGTAAAATATGCAAATCTATCGTTTTCAGACTTCCAATTAGGAAGATGGATTTATTTTAAATTTTAAGAATACGTTTGCTTAATTTGTTTTCTATTGTATCTAATTATCTTGACGCCCGTGAACTCATGAATTTTGTTTCAAATTATATATGAGTACCTTTCTTGAACTGCAAGATACACCGATGAGTGAATCCGTATGTTAACTACGTAAAAGTTTCCCACTTTGCAAAACATACATAAGAAACGTAAACTATGATCAACTCTTTTTTATATCTCGACTCTATTAAACAACAGGTTAAATAGCACGTGCATTCAAATTAAATATTAAATACTGGTGCTGATATGAAGATGAGATCGCCCGTGGGTATCCGACGATGAAATGCCTCAAACTTTGAATGATCTATTAATAGAATATTTTAACCAAAATAGAATTCCGCCAGTTCAGATGGTGTCTTGTCACACCAAAAAAAAAAAAGTATGGAGAATTTGATATTGCAAAAGGGTTGTCACAGATAGTAAATAATAAATTGTATCTTTTATCTTTTGTCGCTCATTATAATGTAATGTAAGACAACTAGTATATTTTATGAAAAAAAAACAATATCTCTTACTCGCCTTGAATTTTATTAATTATCTTCCATAATCCTTAAAAAATCGTGTCACACTGGCGTTTTTCCTGGTGTGCACTTGTACTACTACTGATCACAAAAATTATAATGAATGGATCGAAATTTGATTTTTGTTTTTTTTTTAGAAGACATTTACTGCATTTATTTGTTATGGCATAAGGGGGCTTTTTCGAATATTTCTTCTACTTTAAAATAAAGAATAGATTTAATGAAACATAAGGGGATAACAAACAGTATAAAAGATAAAAAATTCATTCAAAAAAATATAATATAGGAGATGAACAACTACGGACCTCCAACACAGAATTTGTCGTCGATTCAGTGTATAAATAATGAACTAATAATTAGTATGAAAAACGTCAGTCAGCGTTTAACTCAGTGAAAAATTTTATTTGCTAAAAGGTCATTGTGTCTATCATAGATCTTACGAGATGATGACTATAAACGAGACTGCTGATATTCTTGTTTCATCAATTTTTTTTTCAATAATTTACCTCGTATTAGAAAGTATAGAGCATCAACTCTTGCGTATCGAATCAACTGAGATATATAAACCCAGTATGCAGGTAATGAAGGAAAAAGTAATCGAGTGTATTATATGTTATCACCACATCTACAAAATATTTCGCAAAAAATAAAATTTTCTAGTTGACCTTAATTTAAACAGTAAATGTAATCTTAACTTATATTGAGTATATTTTGTAGCATTTAGTGCAATGACACCTACTTATGTCACGTGACACAGATGGAAAAGGGGAAGTGGTATATGAAGTAAAACTCTTGTCAGCAAAAATTTTGTTATTAAGTTTTGTGAGATGTTGGTTTCATTTTTTGTAAGGAATATGTAATGTGGTGTATGTATTTTTGTGCATTTATTCTATAAAGTACATGTTCATTTTTATGCTTCGTCAATGTTATGTTATTTCTATGTGCGGTAAATATGAAATCTCTACTATTGATACGTTTTTATAAAACAACATTGAATTTGCTTTTGCAACTGATAAAATTAAATTTTCTATCAGAGTGAATTCGATTTTATATTTACTTTTTCATGCAGCTGATAAGGTATTTAACTTTTACGTAAAATTTAATAGAAGTTAAAGCTTTCTACCGCCGATTTTATATCGTTGGATACGGAGTACATGTACTTGGTAACTTCTGACGTTTAATAAATATTTTCATTATTTGATTATAGGTATACTTTTACTTTTTTAGTGAGGACCACTGAATAGTTTTGTTTCTTTTCTTGCAATTCTTTGTATACTTTTAAATGGGACAATATCATATGCATGGTGAAATATTTTCGTCTTTATTTTTGCATTGGAAATGTAAAATATATAAACTGTATATAAAATCTATCGAGCATTTCTCATAAACTGCAAATATTTCATTTTGTCCTTATATTACTCTCTCCTTTAAGCAACCAAAACATTCTCCTACAATATAGCCCCCACTGTTTCACAGCCTTTGTGGAGAATACAGACCGGAAATGAGGTAAGAACCCCATGCAATTTTAGTTCGTTTAAATGAAATAAAAAAAATACATGCATATTTTTAACATTTTTTTAGCATCTCTTAAGGGTGGAAGATACAAGCTTTTGTGAAAGTTTTTGAAAATAACGACTTTAGTTATGCTTATATAAGTCAATTGAATAAGTTTAAACAAAAAGATCTTTTTTTATTCAAATTTCATACATGTACATTTAATAATTCTACAAATACAGTCAGGGGGATCCGACTCCCCTCCCCCTCCCTCCGAGCTACGCATGGTTTATTTTTCCCTAAGCGGGGGGACACGAATTCTCTGAATTAGCTTGTTTTGTATATACTAGTATCCTTTATGTATTTATTGAAGTAAATGTTTCAAAATTACTGTATATTTTGTCTATTTCAATTCACTTTTAAATGAAAATAAATCGATTGTGCTGACAGATTTCACGATCCCCTTGTCATTACAACGAGCACAGGCCGGATGTGACTGGTTAGCAGGGGATGCATCATATCCCACTTCTGTTGTTTTGGAGATCCGGTTTTTCTCTGCTTTTATTTTGTATTTTTGATGGACTTTTGATCTTGTATACTGTTCGTTTTTTTTTCCTTTTGAACTATAACAGTTCTCTTTATTTTGGATTCCTATTTTTCCATGCGAGTTGCACACAAAGTTGTTTTTTGCAGTAAAATGTGTCATGGTTGTTCAAAAATATCTATTAAATTATTTCTTATGAATTCTATCAACAAAGTTTGACAAATATAGTAAATACATTCTGAAAACCCTGGAAAAATTGAGCCAAATTTAACGTAAAATTGACACTTTTTAGTAAAATCTGAAAATTAACATCATATACCCCCCACTTTTGATATTCTTTTCTAAATATTCAAGATAACTTTGATCTATTTGCTTTAATTCAGAAAAAGTTAAAGACTTTAAAATAATTTTCTTGCTTTTTAAATTTCCAATGCCAGAAAAATCACATTTTATTAGTGCAGAAAGGTCAAATAATTGATTATGCGAAGTAATTTGAAACTTTTTCTCTATTTAACAAAAAGTTAAATAACACGCGCATTGAAATTAATGCCCTGTTCACACGGAGAGTTTAATTCGAATTAAACGTAAGTTTACTGCGAATTAGCTTCGCTTAGCGTTCACACGGAGAATTTAATGCGAATTAGTTTACTTCGCATTAGTTTACTGCGCATTAAATTACTTCGCATTAGCTCCGTGTGAACGCTAAGCGAAGCTAATTCGAATTAAATTTTGGGGCATGCGTAATGGCAAAATTAAGTCAAATGCGTCATGTCGGTGGTCAGCTTTAAGTATTTGTGCTATTTTTGAGTGAAAAACTAAGAAAAAATGTGTTAATCACTAAAATATGTCTCCAGACACTGTGACATTATGTCAAATGTATCTGCTTCTGCATAAGGTGACGTGATTTGCAAATGACGTCATAATAGCCTTCCTCACGCCTGACTGTCGAAGTAAAATTTTAATTCGCATTAGTTTACTTCGCATTAGCTGTCGTGTGAACGCAATTTAATTCGCATTATTTTGATTCGCATTAGTTTACTTCGCATTAATTTACTGCGAATTAAACTCTCCGTGTGAACAGGGCATAAATATGGCGATTTTCCAGCGAGATTGACCACTGGTGCTGATTTAAGATAAGATCGCCCGTGGGTATCCGACGATGAAATGCCTCAAACTTTGAATGATCTATTAATAGAATATTTTAACCAAAATAGAATTCCTCCAGTTCAGATGGTGTCTTGTCACACCAAAAAAAAAATAAAGTATGGAGAATTTGATATTGCAAAAGGGTTGTCACAGATAGTAAATAATAAATTGTATCTTTTATTTTTTTGTCGCTTATTATACTGTTATGAAAGACAAACTAGCATTTTTATGGGGAAAAACAATATCTCTCACTCGCCTTGAATTTCAATTATTAGTTTCCATAAACCTTAAAAATTCTTCTCACACTGATGTTTCCTGGTGTGTACTAGTGCTAGTACTGATAACAAAAATTATTATGAATGGATCAAAGTTTGATTTCTGTTCTTTTTTAGAAGACATTGACTGAATTTATTTGTTATGGCATAAGGAGGCTTCTTAGAATATTTCTTCTACTTTTAAATAAAGAATATATTTAATGAAACATAAGGGGATAATGAACAGTATACAAGATCAAAAGTTCATAAAACAATATAATATAGGAGCAGAACAACTACGGACCTCCAACATAGAATCCGTCGTCGATTCAGTGTATAAATAATGAACTAACAATAAGTATGAAAAACGTCAGTCAGCATTTAACTCAATGAAAAATTGTATTTGCTAACAAGGACATTGTATCTATCATAGATCTTACGAAATAATGACTATAAACGAGACTCCTGATATTCATGTTTCATCAACTTGGTTTTTTTTTTCAATAATTTACCTCGTATTAAAAAGTATAGAGCATGCTCTTGCGTATCGAATCAACTGAGATATATAAACCCCGTATGCAGGTAATGAAGGAAAAAGTAATCGAGTGTTTTATATGTTACCACCACATCTACAAAATATTTTGCAAAAAAGGCAAATTTTCTAGTTGAGCTTAACTTTAACAGTAAATGTAATCTTAACTTATGTTGAGTATATTTTGTAGCATTTAGTGCAATGACACCTACTTATGTCACGTGACACAGATGGAAAAGGGGAAGTGGTATATGAAGTAAAACACTTGTCAGCAAAAATTTTGTTATTAAGTTTTGTGAGATGTTGGTTTCATTTTTTGTAAGGAATATGTAATGTGGTGTATGTATTTTTGTGCATTTATTCTATAAAGTACATGTTCATTTTTATGCTTCGTCAATGTTATGTTATTTCTATGTACGGTTAATATGAAATCTCTTCTATTGATACGTTTTTATAAAACAAATTGAATTTGCTTTTGCAACTGATAAAATCAAATTTTCTATCAGAGTGAATTCGATTTTATATTTACTTTTTCATGCAGCTGATAAGGTATTTAACTTTTACGTAAAATTTAATAGAAGTTAAAGCTTTCTACCGCCGATTTTATATCGTTGGATGCGGAGTACATGTACTTGGTAACTTCTGACATTTAATAAATATTTTCATTATTTGATTTTAGATATACTTTTACTTTTTTAGTGAGGACCACTGAATAGTTTTGTTTCTGTTCTTGCAATTCTTTGTATACTTTTAAATGAGACAATATCATATGCATATCGTTTTGTGTGTGACTAAGTTTTCTTTATATCTATTACTTTCAGGAGAATTGAATAAAATGATACAGGTATGGGCATGTCAGGTGAAATATTTTCGTCTTTATTTTTGCATTGGAAATGCAAAATATATAAACTGTATACAAAATCTATCGAGCATTTCTCATAAACTGCAAATATTTCATTTTGTCCTTATATTACTCTCTCCTTTAAGCAACCAAAACATTCTCCTACAATGTAGCCCCCACTGTTTCACAGCCTTTATGGAGAATACAAACCGGAAATGAGGTAAATATCCCATGCAATCTTAATTCGTTTAAATGAAATAAAAAAAATACATGCATGTTTTTGACATTTTTTGAGCATCTCTTAAGGATGGAAGATACAAACAAACTTTTGTGAAAGTTTTTGAAAATAACGACTTTAGTCATGCTTATATAAGTAAATTGAATAAGTTTAAACAAATAGATCATTTTTTATTCAAATATCATCAATAAGGGGATTTTAAGTAACAAACATTTCAATAGAGATATAAATATGGTTGGAGAAAAGTAGAATTTTGAACAACATCGTAATTTCACAATTTTTTAATACCCCGGTAATCAAGAGATTTTTCATTCTCATTATTTTGAATAGGTAAAAAATATATCCAGGCATCCGTTTTTTTTTTTTTTTTTTGGTTTCACCTGTCCTTTAGGGGGGGGGGGGGGCATAACGTATACATAGTGTCTCTTTACTTTTATTTTAATTTTAGAATGGCATTCATATCGTGTCCCTGTTTTCGTTATAAGGTTTTACAAAAGCTCTTTAAACTAACACTTACAATGTATGTACAACTGATTTTAAGGGTGAATACTTTGTCCAAAGTTAATTGTTAAACACATCCAGACTCTCGTTGACTAGGAAGCCTTAATTATACACCGGAAATCGCATTTTAGACTTTGAAAGATTGAAAAAATGATTAGCTTTAGATCGTCAAGCAGATCAGATGAATCTAAAAAACAGTTGATTCTTCCTTAAAATAAGGAAAATAATAAAAAACATATTAATTGTCAATCCCCTTTTTGTTATATAGAGTAATAAATGTAACATGTTTTGGAAAATCTTTTATTCAAAGGAGTTACAGACGAAATAAATTCTTGGAAACAATTCACGAACAATCATACAAAAAATATACAATACAAATAAAAAAATTAAAATGGAAATGAAAAATATGAAAAAATTAGAAAAAATAACATCAATTTATTGTGATTAAAGATGTATTCATAATCAGGATGGCGATTACTTATAGTACATTATTTATATAGGATAATTGTAATTATTGTTAATTACTACATATTGAGGACGATACTATATTTAGACTTGTCAGGTGAGGTGACACGTGATTTGAGGACATTTACTTAAAGTATTGAGGTTACCTGTAAATTTCACTAGTGTTAGTTAAAATTATAGTTTATAGTGTAGCAGGGTTCTCCATCATTTGAGATTTTACTGTGTTGCAGAGTTTAAGCGAAGCACTAATATTTCGCGGTATTTTCGCGAACAAATTCGCAACTGAATTACAATTCATGATAATTACAAAAGATTACAAGCACACACTTATTTAAAAATCGCTAATTCTTTACACAAATGGTATGGTCGTACATACTGATAAAGGGGAATAAACGTTCTGAAAATCAGAGGAAATTCTGACCGATAGTCGAACTACTTAACATTTTTGAAAGTAGATTTGCCGTGTTTATTTATCAGGTTTCTTGATCGAGTTACCGCATTACAAAAAGGGACTTCAGAACAGTAAAAATATTTTAAAGAGGTGACTTCCTTAAACATGCTGAAATATCAAAATTTTCGGCAATTTATTTACATCAATTAAATGACTTCGATACGATGTTATGTTTGACTTACATAATTCTAGAGCCGTGGCTCTATAGGAAAGACATATTTAAATATTTTTCATAAATAATACAATGTATTTTATTGCAAGCCAACTACCAATTAATCGGTACATTGAATTGTGAAAACAATTTATTTGTCTTTGTTCCGTCATGCGTAAAGTCCGGCGAGAGTGTAGGAGATAATTGATTGATTACTCAAGGTGAAGCCCTAGTAAGTGTTATAACTTTTTTGAATTGAAAGACGGTAGAATTGTTTGATTAAAGTTTTAGTTAGAGATAATTTGTGTGTTTAGATTTTCTAATTATCCCAACTCTTACTGTGTCGGCAAAATTTTTACTGTGTCGCATGCATGAAATTTGAATCGTTACTGTGTCGGAGAAAATTTTACTGTGTCGGGAGCAACACAGTAAAACAGCTAATGGAGAACCCTGGTGTATAAATGTTTTCAACATGCATTGTAGCTTCTGAAAATTGCTGTCATCCTATCAGGAATGTGTAATTTCTTTGTCAAAATCATATTTGTATGACAAATGCTGTATTTTTTGCTTGTCAACGGAAATATTTGTATAATTAAATACCGTATAAGTGGAAATTTTAGCGAAACGTAAATTTAGCGATTTCTCCTTAAAAAATGGTAATTTATTTTTAGCGAGAGGTAATTTTAGCGATTTTAAAATGCTTACTAAAGAAGCTATTACAAATAAAGTGAAATTAATTTTTAGCGATATTTAATTTTAGCGATCTCAGGACCCTCGCTAATAATGCCAAAATTAAGTCCTCGCTAAAAATTCTACTTATACGGTAATTTTCAAGATTTCATCAGGATAACAGCACCTTTTCAGATACCCTAATAATTTAAGATTTAGTTTGTAAAAGCTTACTATGATCCACTGAATATATGTTCTCCTACTAGATCGATTTATTAAGATACTCTTATTACCCTCCGTTGTACCTGCATACAAACATACGGTAGTATCAATAAAATAGGAAATGTACGGAAAATATATAAATTTTGTTTTATTTTAAAATATTGAAGAAGACATTAAATTGAAGCTGATGACCCATGGAATATCTGTTAAAAATGGTGTAATAATTATAGAATACATTTATCGGTGAGAAAATATTACTTGATCTGCCTTTCACTGCATACAAAATGCATCACGTTTTAAGAAATGACGTCAAATCCTTGTGAAAATAATTTAGCACGATGCTTAAATACAGTTTAGATTAAAAACGAATCAAGAATGTTTGAAATAAGCATAACTATACAAATGTATAAATACATCCCATCAAAATTAATTAACTAGTCTGTTTCATATATTTAAAAAAAAAAGCAAAGTACATTAAAATACAGTAATAGGGTAGTACAGGTACAGAAAATTCCTTCAAAAGGTTGTTAAAAACATGCGCTAATTAACGAAATCATAAGGGGCTTGAGGAATGAAAATCACTTCGATTTAGGCGTAGATTCGCTATAAGTATGTTCGATAATTTTTTTTTTACTGAACTTGTATCTCGAAGAACTGACCTAAATCTGACCTCCATCTCAATCTGTATTCTCACCTCAAGTCCTACCCTTAAAAAGTAGAGGTGTTCTTTCAGAAATGCACTAAAAATGGGCTATATTTTGGAATTATTTCATAGCATCATGATGATGGAAATATTAGGATTATTCAGCCAAGGAAAAAAGACATACTCTACAAGGGATTCGTTGATATGAAAAGTGATTTAGATTAAACCATTATTCATCCTTCCTTAAAAATCTTGCAATGAGTTATTAAACCACAAAAAAACCAACCAGCCTTAAGTAGTTCACAGAATTTTATACTTCCTTATTGCTCTTAAACATTACTTCTTTCATTTTATATCAATGGTACATTTCACTGACATAGCTGTGACACTTCAGGGACAATTGGCATTTATTTCTATGTTAGAGGTGACTTTTTCTTAATTTTTTTTTCAAATAAAATATAAGTACATTCTAAAGTTTTATACACTTTTAGAAAGTTTCTGTCGGTCTAAAACAAGCTCTGTCTCTTACAAACAATTTCTAAAATAGAACTACTAATGACAAAAAAGTTGACGGTTCATGACTATCAAAATCCTCAGCTAAAGTAAACATAACGCAAAATACACAGTAGATACCATGAAATTGTCTGTAAATGCAATCTATGTTGTCTTCTTTGAAACAAATTTTCGATAAATATGTTTGTACATTGTATTTTTACCAATTTTTCACATGAATAATGATTATTGACTCACGGCGAGTTTTCAAAGTTTGACCAGACATAGCAGGATGGATATTGTTTTGGGAACTTGTAATTTTCCTCTAGAATCTACATAAAAATGCACAAAGCCTTATAAAACGTCTTTGACATTTAATGTCATGTTTCATAACACCGATTATAATTCGGAGTTATTTTTATCATATATCTTGAAGAAGACATTGTGTAGTAAATATATGCCAAAAAGAGATGCATATATCTAGTCTGCGATGACCCTTAAGTGCTTAAAACATTGACATTGAAACTATGTGCAAAATGCTGTAATTTTCATCAGGGTTTCTCTGTTTAAGGAAAGTGAGGAGCAGAGCATGTGATTCTTTCATGATGATATACCAAACGAAAAAGAGAAAATGAAACACTGTTCAATATGCTGTCTAAATTAGCGTTACAGAAATCTGTAACAGTGACAGGGGCTAAGTATAGTTGCCACATATCCTACCTAACGTCTGACAGGGTTTGGATCAGTGATGGATATAACAATCTTATATTGACAAACACAGAGGGTGAGAAACTCCATCAACTCACAGATGTAATTAGTGGTGATGGCGTACATACTGTGAATAAAGATGGGGAATTAATTTATATAGATAAAAATTATAACATTATTAAACTGTCTTTAGACAAAACGAAGAGTTCAATAATCAATTATACAGAAGCATGGAGACCACGATGTGTTTACAGCTCCCCCTCAACTGGAGACCTGTTGGTCGTGATGTTCAATACAGAAACGGATGAAAACAAGGTAGCCCGGTATAATTCCGCTGGAGAAAATACCCAAACCATTCAACATGACAGCAAAGGTCAAGAACTGTATAAATTTCCTAAATACATTACCGAGAATCGCAATGGAGATGTTATTGTGTCGGACCTCGTTCATGATGTAGTGGTGACAGATAGAGGGGGAAATCACCGATTCTCCTACACTGGACCCCCTTCAGGTAATAGACTGGATCCCCGGGGAATCTGTACAGATGCCATGTTGAACATCTTGGTGTGTAGTCATAATACACACACAGTGCAGATAATTGACAAGGATGGTAACTTCCTGTCACTTGTAGAGACATCAAACCACGGCATGGAAAGGCCTTTTGGCCTGAGTTATAATGACAAAACACATCTTCTCTGGGTTGGTTCTCGGTACAAGAACAAAGTGAACATATACAGATGTCTCTATGGGGACTCACAGATCGGTATGTGTTATTGAAATATGCGTTAAAATGCATATTTCAAGAGTATCATGTATTTTCAATCCAAACTTTTTATTTTCCTGTTTAAACCAGTCCCAAGATTAAATAACCAAAAGTTGAAAAAAAAAAAAAGAAAAAGAAAAAAATATTCTAATGTGCAATGTGTTTTTTGTATATTTTGGAGTTATCCTTACTAGATTGCTCAATTTCTATCAATTATTAAATTCATGATTTGCCATTAAATAAAGATATCTTTTCGTTGAAAAAAAATTCCTTTACCTCTACTTTGAGAAACGTTATTGAAAACGTCATCTTAACAATACCTTGTGTATTAAACAAACGATTCCATTATGTATGTAATTCATGATCTCTGTCTGTTTTCTTTATAATCAGGTCTTCCTCTTGAGAATCTGAAGTGCACGAGACATCCTAGCGATACATTAGGCAAGTACTGCACACAATGCGAGGTTGACTTGTGTGGGAAATGCATTGCAACGTCTGATGAGCATAAGAAGCACGACGTTAAGGAGGTGGAGAAATTATTTCGTGATATTCAAAAGAAAGGTATGTGACTTTTCAGAACCCGAACAGCTTCTTTGTCAAATTGAAAAGAAAGAGCCACTTCTTTGGAGAAAAAATGAATGATGTTTCTTCTAACATTTCTTTTGCATAACATAGGGAAAAAATTAAATAAACACCACATCTAAATGATTGAAGAAGAAAAAAATGGCTTTAAGATTCTAAAATATGTGCCAAGTATCAATCATAACAAAATTTATTCTACATTTAATTCTGTTTGGCCTGAATTGGGACATTTTTGCTTCAGTAATATTTGTCCTTAAATGCAACAAACTCAAAGAACAATTGAAAATAGGCAAGACATTTATTAACGATTATGATTTTTTACGTTATAGATGGGACTGGAGTTTTGATATGCCTTCTTCTTTGTGAGTCATACAAAATAAACCTGAAAGAAGACAATTGGATAAAGAAGTCTGAAGCTGTTGCAAACGATTTCAAGTTCAAGAAGTTAAAAAAGCAATTCAGTATAAGCACTCTAAAAAAGTACAAGCCAATACTTAGAGTACTCAAGCAAGATAGTTCTGAGGTCGAATTTTCGAGTGAATTTTTCAAAAACAATACTTTTTTACGATTCGCAAAAGATCCAAATTTTCTTGATGTGTTTCTGACTTGGGCTGAAAAAGAAAACATAGCTGAATATTGTAGATCATGGGCGTATCCAAAGAAAAAAGGAGAAGTGTTTTGCTGGTTATTGCCTAGACAAACTGAACAGTTGATAACGAAACTTGAAAAGGATATTTTCGAACATCCTACGTGGAAGGACGCGTCAATACATCAGGCTGCATTTAAAAATCGTATGTTTATACTAAGTACATTCTTTTATGTTATTTCATGCAATTTATGCGAGAATCCAACTGTCTAACTACATGCTCTACCTCCAACACCAATACAAATATTTGTACATGGAAATGATTGATAGTAAATAAGTTTGAGCGATATTTTTTTTCTTAATTACTAAATCTTAAATACAAATCAAACAAGGATATATGAACATCGACAAAATTTATTTTTAAAAAATTCTTAAAGCAAATTTATTAAATTTTTTGAAGGAGTTCCGAGTTTTACGTAAGGAGCACTTTTACATTTCAGTGGGCATACCCGTTCAAATTATAATGAGGGGAGATGAGTCAGTGAAGAATTTCATGGGGAATCTGAAAAAAGGGGAGACAGTGATGTATAATGCCTCTGGGATGATAATAGGGTGCGCTGGAAGTGGAAAATCTACTTTGCTTGGGAGGTTAAAAGGCATCGATGTGGAAGAAATTAAAATCACCACAAGATCAACCCGAGGAATTGATGTCCATACTGACGTTTTTGATGTGTCTGGGGACACCATAGGTATTGTTTATTAGATTTTGTTTACTTTAAATATCTTATGTATGCTAATCAAATGGTAAAGAAAGACGTGTAAAACAATTTTAGATATTCAACTTAAACAAGAAGCCAAGGGTGCACATCACATTGCTCACCCGAGTCTGTGGTTAGGAAAAAACAAAAATCAGTTTAGTGTAAAAAAAACCTTAAATGCATGAGTGGTCCCAACTTACCCCTTAAAGGCAGAAGGGGTACGGGGGATGGTGCATGGTTTGAACAAAAATGAATCTACACTATAAGCGGATGTTTCCAAATAAATATAACAAACAATGACTTTGTGGTTCTTGAGAAGATTATTTCATATATACATAGGTTTCATATGTTAAAGTTTGATCAGCCATTGTGGCCCTACCATATCCCCAGGGGTCATGATTTGTACAAACTTGAATCTACACCACCTGCAAATGCTTATAATGACTTCACTGTTCTTGACAAGAAGAATTTCAAAATCTAACCTATATATTCCTATGTTAAATTATGATCGTCCATTGTGGCCCCACCCTACCCCGGAAGTAATGTATTAAACAAAAAAAAATTGAATCTACACCACCTGAGGATACTTCCATATAAATATTATTAATTATGGCTTTGCTGTTCTTGAGAAGAAGATTTTTAAAGATTTTCTCTATACACTGATATGTAAAACTTTGATTAAATATTGAGGCCCAACCCTAACCTTAGCCAATCCCAATGAAATGAATAAAATTGAATCTGCACTTCCTGAGGATGCTTCCATATGAGTTTCATCTTTCCTGGCCCAGTGGTTCTTAGGAAGAAGATTTTTAAAAGATGCCATTAATTTTTTGCTAATTCATAATTATCTCCCCTTAAAACAGGCCGTGGCCCTTCATTTGAACAAACTTAAATCTCCTTTACCCAAGGATACTTTGAGACAAGTTTGGTTGAAATTGGCTTAGTGGTTCTTGAAAAGAAGATGAAATTGTGAAAAGTTTACAACAACAACGACTACAACGACAACGACAGAAAACAGAGAAATTTCGATCAGAAAAGCTCACTTGAGCCTCCGGCTCAGGTGAGCTACAAATAGTTTGCTGTAAAATGATTTATTCAATAGTTGCTTATGAAAATAATTACAGTGTAAGGCATCCACAAGTGCATTCTACATAAAACATAAGCATGATCTCTCCGTCTTTTCGTCTGTCCATCCGTCCGTTTAAATCAAATTGTCCAAAATATTTCAATAACATTCTTTGAGCTAAGAAGTTTTTTTTTTTCAAATGTACATTAGCTGATAATTTTGGATCTTGTTTTCTGAACATTGATTTTCAATTGATCCATCGAAGCAATCCTTTAAAGAGGCTGGGTGGACGTGGCCATTTTTATACTATTTTGATTTCCTTTAGAAGAAGAGCTCCATATAAAGATATAATAAAAAGATCAAATTTTAAAATTGAAATGTATGAAATTTTTCTTTGCCAAATGATATTTGAAAGCTTAAGGATACCATATCCCAAAATTTAAGTTATATCTGGTGATTAATAAAAAAAAATACCACCTAGCCTCCTTAAAATGTAAAAATAGAAATTATTTATCAAGATTATCTATATTTGTGTCATAACAATATTCCATCAAGATATATTTCATGCTATCTTTTGACATACGTTCCTTCGACATGTATTAAATACCGGTAACATTAAATGAACTTATGATTTTTGGACTAAGGTTTTTCCATGTATTTTCTTAAGAAATCGGTGATGTATAAATAGTACATTTGTTACAGAAAATTCATCAAATCAAAAACAACGCTTTAAGGTTAGAATGGAAGAACAAAATCAAACTGACGATGTTACAGAACATCCTTCAGAATTTTCTGATGAGAAAGTATCGAATATTGATGAACCTGAGATAAACGGTGGAAAAAATCAAGCTGCAAGCGAAGAGGTTGATGTTGAAGAGTCGACAACGCCAAACACTATAAACACAGAAACAGAGCCATATGAACCAGAAGAAGTTGCTAAACCCAATGAAAAGGAAGAAGAAGAATTAGGTGAAAACGATACCAATGTCTCTGAGAATGCAGAAAATTTGGGAATTTTACGAGTTTCAAAAAACGTTTCAGAGGAACCAGAAAAACGGATCACAATGGTGGACTTCGCTGGACAATGTGCGTATTACGCTTCACACCAAATATTTCTGAGTCCTAGGGCCTTCTTCATTTTGGTGCTCAATATGCAGAAAACACTGGACGATAAAGTTGGAGAAGAAGTTTGTAGTCAAAAAGACTCGATTTTCAACGGCTGGACTTACAGAGGTTTGTTTCTGTTCCATAAAATTGAAAATAATTTAAAAATATATAAAATATGTAAAAATAGAAGTTCAATTATATACACTATTATGAATGATAGAGAACAGAAATTGGTATAAGACAAGTATAAGAAGAAAAGTTATAATTAGTATTGAATGATTGTATATTGTTTAAAGTCCCTCTCGAGAATTTTTCACTCATATGGAGACGCCACCGTATGCCGGTGAAGGGCTTCAAATTTTGACCTTTACTCGGCACTCAGGGCCATTAAGCATCAATCTTTATCGTGCCAACGCCTGCCGCTGACACGGGGTCTCGGTTTTTAAGGTCTCATCCGAAGGACCTGCAACTTTCACTTCAACGTGCCGAGCGCATGGCGAAGGAACAGTTGCTACCCATTTTATCGACTTGGTCAGTCGCGGCAGAGATACGATTTCACGACCTCCCGATCACGGAGCGAGCGCTCTACCGACTGAGCTACCGTGAACGGTAAGTTATAATTAGTAAATATTCAGTAACAGAACCTTAGTTGACAATTGTCATAGAGGTCAAAACTGACATTACTTTATTACAATTTGGAGTTCAATCATCAAAACTATGTCAGAAAAATCTTTGTCACCGGATTTCAAACTTTTTAGAAGATTACTAGATAAGCACTCATTTATCAATAAATTAAAAGAATATGGCTAGTTTTATCTTTTTTTTTGCATATTCTGCATTAGGTGCAATTTAAAATTATAAAGATACACTGTGAATAATGACTTCCCTCCTTTTAAAGGGATCACGGACGGAAAGAGAGCTTAAACATCTTATCAAACAATAGTAACAACTGTTTTTGAAATATATAGGAAAATAAACTTACAGCAAATATTAGTAAATAACGAATTATTTTTCAAAGTTTTTTTTTAAATTAATCATCCAACTTAGATTTGTTAAAATTTACTAAAATTCATCGTCAGATTATTTTCAGTTCTTAAAATAAAGAAAAACATGCCTAAATGATTAAAAAAAATCTTCACAATAATGTTTACGTACTTTTCCCCGCTTATGAATGAAAACATGTTTTTGAATATTTTCTTTTGTCTTTTTTTTAACTTACACAATATTTCATGAATACAGAAATCATTTTTTGCGTTACTTCAGATTCACATTGTGAATGCTTATTAAAATGTACAATTTGTATTTTTCGATAACAAATTAAATCTTATCTTATCGAAATATAAATAATAACCCAATAAGAATTCGTGTCAATAACTAACAATAAATAAATAAAATAACACACATCAGTTCAAAATAGATAATACAGAAATTACACACGATCTTCTATACCAGATTTATGACTAAGATGACATATCATCAAAATATAATTCGTTTGTTTAGACGCCAACAGAAGGAGTTTGAGTAACTTTTCATTTTTTTATCAAGGCTAAATTAAAAAATTTGTCTAGTCGTCTTTTTGTTGTCGTTGTTGTGCGTTAACTTTTCACATTTCATCTTCTTATCAAGAAAGATACAAACTTGGCACAAAATCCTTGGGTAATGATTTTCACGCCCTTTTCCAAGGGGAGATAATCATGAATTTGTTAAAAATTAATGGCATTTTTAAAAAATCTTCTTCTTGGGCCAGGAAAGATGAAATATATAGTGTAGAAATAAATCTTACAAGGGTGGTAAATATTAGTAAGTTTTATAAGGAATATATTTTTCAAAATCTTTTTTTTAACCTCATGTGGAATCATCCCAGGTAGTGTAGATTAAAGTTTATTCAAATCATGACCCCCGGGGCAAGTGTTGGGCCAAAATGGCCGACCCAAGTTTTACAAAGGAATATATAAGAAAAATCTTTAAAAATCTTCTTCTCCAGAACCACTCGGCCAGGAAAGATGAAACTCATGTGGAATCATCCTCAGGTAGTGTAAATTCAAGTTTGTTCAAATCATAACCCCACAATAATGTAAATGTACATTTCAAGTTTTACATAGGAATTTATAGGAAAAATCTTTAAAAATCTTTTTCCAGAACCACTTACAGGAAAGATTTCATGTGGAATCATCCTCAGGTAGTGTAGATTCAAGTTTTTTTGTGGGAAAGGGTGGGGCCAAAATACTTCATAGTTTTACATAGGAATATATAAAAATCTTTAAAAATCTTCTTCTCCAGAACCACTTGGCCAGGAAAGCTGAAACTCATCTTGAATCATCCTCAAGTAGTGTTGATTCAAGTTTGTTCAAATCATAACCCCCGGGGCAAGGGTGGGGCCAAATTAATTACATAGGAATATATAAGAAAAATCTTTAAAAATCTTCTTTCAAACCACTGGGCAAGGAAAGATGAAACTCATGTGGAATCACAGTAGTGTAGATTCAACATCACGGGCTAGGATCAAGTTTTACCTAGGAATATATAGGGAAACTTTTTATAATCTTCTTTTCAAGTACTTCAAAGCTATGATTAGTGATATTTATATGGAATCATCCTCAGGTTAAGTGTAGATTCAAGTTTGTTTAACTGATGAACGAAATTTGTGGCCCCTGGGCCTCTTGTTAAAGATACTCGGTAGTTGCATCACCTTAGCAGTTTTTTTGGTTTGTGAAGTCAATCGTGGATTCGTATACTTATCTGTAACTTCATTTTCTTAAAAATGATCTAAACAGATTACTTTGCCAAAAATATTAAAAGAGTAATTGGCTGATTAAATTAATTTTATATTTTAAAAAAATAAAAATCTTTCTTATTTCTACTTGCAAGGTAATGCACTGATTTAATTATCTGTTAAATTTAAAGTTATCTATATGTTTTGTATTTTAAACAGATTATCTTATATTTTGGGCGAAGTCTATTCACCAATACAGCAGTGAAAAGGCCCCAGCTTTATTGGTCGGCACACATGCTGAAGGGAAAACGCAACGGGTATGTTAGCTGTGCGAAAAGCAACCACTGACTCATCTAAAATATCTATAAATAATAAAAATTATATATACTGTTTGAAAGGTACTTGGACACAAATTTAGATATTTTCTATATACACATGTAATATCACGAACTATATATTTTAATAGCATTTCACACAAAAATTAAGTGGCAATCTTGTTATATAATAATAAGAAATATCAAAACTTTAATCCAGAAAAATAATTTTGTTCAGAGTAGAAATGTTAGAAAGCAGAACTTCTTCACAAGTATCGTCATTTCGAGCTAAGTGTTGTGTACAGAGTTTAGCAAATCGATCACACTCGTGTTACAGTGTACATGTATGTACACTGTTTTTGTAAACAGGGCACGAGCTCTGTTATTACTGATGTTTACGATTCACCGGGTGCATTTAATTGCCAAAGTCTGTTCACCACAGCTGCACGGGCTGACAATGTATTGTGTGTTTGTTTTGCTTTTGAACATGTCTACTCTGAATTTTCTGGATTATAGTATCAATATTTTTTATTCATACACAACAAAGATTGACACTTTTCCTAATTATTAAGAATAAAATTAAAATTTGTGAAAGTGCAAAAATCTGTCGATCAAACTCGCCAAAAAATTGAAGTTTTAATAACTTTTAAATGAAATAAGATTTTTAATTAATTTTTATGTGAAATACTATTAAAATATATAATTCGTGATATTATACTGAAAATATTAACTTCAAATCTGTGTCCTAGTACCTTTAACAGAAATTCTCTTCAAATGATCCCCATTTCACTTTTTTTACTTGATTGATTGATTGTATACTGTTTAACTTTCCTCTCGAGAATTTTTTCACTCATATGGAGACGTCACCGGATGCCGGTGAAGGGCTTCAAATTTAGACCTTTGCTCGGCACTCAGGGCCATTAAGCAGTGAGGGTTCTTTATCGTGTCAACGCCTACCGTGACATGGGACCTACGTTTTTAAGGTCTAATCCGAAAGGAACATGTTTACAGTATGACGCGGCGCTGCGAACGAGATTCAAACCCGGGCCTCCCGATCATAAAGCGAACGCTTTTCCACTAGGCTACCGTGATTTTTTTATTTTACATTATATACGCCATAGATGAAGTGTGAAGTTGATGAACAGTGGTCACTCTGTAAGTCCATTTAAACAGTACAGAGTAAGAGCCGAACATGTATGGGGATTCTGAAAACAGAAGTGGTCTCAGGCAGGTTATCTCTCATTATTTCCCTATCATGACAAGGAGCACACGGTTGGTATGACCGATCGGCTGGGGATGCTTACTCCTAGATGGCACTTGATTCTACATCTGATGTTTTGTAGGTCCGTGTTTGCTCTTATCCTGTTTTAATACTCCTGTTATGTTTTACTGTTTGTTATCTCCATATATTATCAGTATCAGTGAGTTTCCCCATGAACAATTAAGCCACTCTTTGTGTGTTGTGTGTGAGGGTGTGTTTGTGTGTAAGGGTGCATGTGTCTTTTTTGTTACGATTGGGGATTCATTTCTTGCAAAAGTATCCAAGTGCAGGCATGGGAAAAAAACCAATGCATGTAGTAATGCTATCGCGTTGTATAAATTTTTATCTTGTTTCTGGTTTAGTTATTTAAATTAGACTTAACAAGAATGTTTAATATTTATATTGACTCTCAATTTCTTCCCCAGGAGAAGGTACAGTTTTTCCGCGATATATGGGAGACCTTGGAAACAACTGACAAGTCTTTACAAAGCCATTTCAATACAAAAAAGATGTTTGCAATAGGATTCGATAACAGGGAATGCATTGAAAACATCAAACGATCGATCGTTGATATTGTTGAAGACCTTGATCACTGGGGAGAAAAGCTTCCTCACTCATGGGCTATGTTCGAAAACTTCTTTCAGGAAAAGAAAAAGCTAAGAATTATCGGTAGAAGGATACTTTTGGATTTTAATGAAGCATTACCGAAGGAGGTAAAATTGCAAACGCTCGGAGATATAAATACCATGCTTCAGTTTTTCCATGACATCAGAGAAATTCTCTTTTTCGACAAGGATATACTAAGAGATGTAATTATTCTCGATGTTCAGTGGTTTGCAGATGCTTTCAAAAATGTAATTACTGACGAAAACCACGCAGAGGAGGATCTGATCGAGTGTGCAGTAGAGTTTGCCAAATTCAATGAAACTGGAGAACTAAATGACACTTTGTTGTCCAAAATATGGAAAATGAGCAATAGGGAGTACATTGAATACCAAAATGATATTATGCTGTATATGGAGAAGCTAGCACTCTTGGCTAAAATAGATGAACATAATTGGTATGTTCCTTGTATGAATAAAAAACAATTTCCTGGAAATATTTTCTCTCAATTCCCTGCCTCATCCATCCTCTGTTATATGTTCGATGTCCTTCCTGCTGGCATCTTCCAACGCCTTGTAGTGAGTTGCATACAATTTCCTTGGAGCATTGTCAAAGAGCGAAAAGGAAGAAAGGAATATCCATGCATTTACCAGACAGCAGTCGTGTTTCTCTTTAAGGAACATAACATTCTGCTTGGAATGACGTCAACAGAAATTCAGTTACAGGTGTGTGTTATTGAGGGAGAAGTTGAAATACCGACATGTTTCGAGATAAGAGAAAAAATTGAGAATGAATTGAACATTCTTTCCAGTACTTTCCAAAAGAACTCAAAATACCATATTGGTTTCAAATGCAAACCTGAAGGCTTCTGCGATAATGAAAAAAGTACCATAATAAACGAATCAGATCTCAAAAATCCGACTCTCCAGTGTATATCATGTCCTGTGGAGAGAAAACATATCATCAACACAAAAGATATTACTAAATACTGGAAACAGGTACCTACGTATTCTGACTACTCTTTTTTTATCATATTTTTTGAAAACTATACATAGTATTTGTATAATTATAATTTCTCTTATTTCTCTGACTATAAAAAAATTTTAATGTAAATAATGCCTAAAATTTAAAAGTAAGTTTTTGTATTCTACGTGCAATGATTTAGAATACTTAATGAAGTACAGCAGTTCAAATTAAAGTTAAAAAATTATAATAAATTATACGTTTTTTAACAGGTAGAGGATGATTCTGAAGAAGGAAACCTTCACGTGCTATGTATGTTACATGTACCTCGTTCTACAATTTTAATTCTATCTCTGATGTTTACGTTTCCAGTAATGATATGATGTTTTTAAAATAATATAGCTTTAAATAAATAATATATTACTTCCTATATCAAAAAAGGTAAAATGTGATTGTGTTTTTATTTACATTTAGCGATTGAAATGATTTTAAATGCAGTGTCAAGAAAATTAAAAGTTACCTCCTTCATGCTTGCGTCACATTGTGATGTGCAAATGGAAGAAAGCTCCAAAATCTTTGAAGAAGAAAACAGATTCAGAATTCTCTATAAATGGAAATGCAAAACGCCAGTCAAGGATCGTTTTGAAGAGTTAAAGAGAATTTTGCGAAATCAAAACGATTTAAAAGAAGCAGCAGATAGCGTCGAAACTTTTCAAGTAACGGACTTTGAATGTTCCGATATAGTATTGCCTTCTGAGGTTGTGTCAACCAACGAATTCCATATCTTAGCAGAAAAAATTCCGAAAGATTACACTCATTTTGTGCGATTTTTAGGTCTGCCCCACATACATATCGAAGAACTGGAGGTTGATGGGTCTCCTGTGAAAGACAGGATATATAAATCTCTATTGAAATTGAAGGAACATCATTCAAAATTAAGTCGTCTGGATATATGTAGAGCTTTGAAGTTCATAGAGAGAAATGATGTTATAGATGACCTAAATAAGATATGGACACTTGGGAAAAAAAATTGATCACGAAATACGACGCAGTGAATTACAAGAATATATGCATAATAATGAAAATAAACATTTGTTGTTCAAGGTCGCTTTATTTTCTTTAATTCGTAAAAAGATACCTTTTTCCGTCGAAGGCTAAAATTTCCTTACACGGCACTTCGTGCCTTTAAGCACTTTTAGGATCTTTTTTGGAGCAAGCACATACATCTATTTGAGTATACGATCTCATCCGAGATGAGATCAACCAGACTTTGTGTCCACAGTGAATTCTACGAAAATCCAGAAGGCTCATTCAAGATTCGAGTTCATATCTAAGCCATTCAAAATACGAGATTCACAATTTTCGACTACTTAATATGCAATGTTATAAAAAAAAAAACCTGATGGAATATGTGATATATATTTCAAAAAATGTATTGTTGCTTTTCACGGACACACGAAGCGTGAATAATATATTTCTCTGTATTATATTCCCCTCAGTTGCCACATATAATGCATTAAAGACTATTCTGTGTTTGTTCGTACCACGTTTCGTTTAATTATCGTATATATTGCATATTTGATGAAAATGTACTGTCTATTCAATGAAAATGTTATATTATACATTTTTCTCAATATTTTTTTACCACAACCTGTTATATGTACATGATAATTTTTTCTATTGCGTTTTTTCCATGCCGTATACTTTGTTTATAAGTTCAAGAATTTTACAAGAAAATAAACATGGCTATATCAACCCGTGCTTTAAAAATCACGCAATAGATAAAAAATTAAATGATACAATGTTCTTCGTTTCTGGTATTTCTTTCAAGTGTCTTAAACCTGGTAGTTTCCGCTTTCTGTTTCGTTTTTCTTCCGCAACACTCACCACAATACACATCCAATCAACACATTAATTACAATAAATGACATATGTCATGAACAGGAAACCTTTATACATTTGTACATGTATTTGATAACGAATATCTTAAGCAATGCAGCAATATCACGGACCCTCAATAACCCTTTTTATAGATTGTGAAAATTGTGTAATGAAAAGTAGTATATGTTTGCCTTCAAGGACATGTCTTTGACCAAAGAAGAACTGTTAAAACGACTAATTATTTTTACACAATTTTCAGAATTTGTAAAAAAAAAAAAAAGGTTTTTGAGGGTCCGTTATATTGCTATATTGCTTAAAATATTCATTTCAATATTTTTTTTTAATATTGATAAATTTAGATCATCGCTTGAGGATATACGATCCTCAGCCAGGAAGGATAACTCCAAACTTTAATATTTAATTTAAAATACATCAAAATTAAGCTTGAAAATTCAATTTTTTATGCAACAATTTTCATTTTATTCATCTCTATAAGATTCAAGGTTTTTGGAAGTCTTAGAGAAGGTCTTATAAAAAGTTGACATTTTTACCCTATAAAAGGATAAAAAAAATAATATTACAGTTTTAGAGAAATAACATTTTCTTGAATCAAGCCTTAGATACCAATGCTTATAATCATGATATGAAAAAAGAAGTGATTTGTGGTGTCTTGCAATTATAGCAAATGCCTTTTACACCACGTATTATAGAATTCATGACGGAAATTGAAGACTAAAAATACCAAATAAGTATAAAAATCATGACAATTTCTAAATATGCCTGGATACCTATCATATTTTAGCCTAAAATATATTTGTTGATCAATTTGCAATTAGGAAATGCATTGCTGATACTCCAATTCTCTTTTTCTGCAAAAATATTGGAGATTTGACAAATTCCTATATAATATGATTAACTTTAATCTTTAACTTTAAGAAAATGTTGTGGATAAATTTACATAACTTTGTGGATTCAGAGATATTTTTATTAGTATTTTTGATTGCTAAACTGCTAATTTTATTAACCTGAGGATTGGACTACCTTCTACTGTCCCTGCTCAATATAAAGTATAAAAACATGCCTTGTAAATAACTGCTTCTTTATGTTTAATTTTCGCACTTTGAAGACTGTGGTCAAGTGAAAAATTCTATGTAACGCTTTTGACAAAACTTGGCATATATAGTAATTTATTCCTCTTGATTAAAAAATATACCTCTAACATGTACACTTCCCTTTTAATTACAAGGGTAAATTAGTCCAAAGAAAATATGGAGAATGGTAGTTTTGTCAAAATGAATGGTTAAACATGTACTTATTGTATATCAAAATATCAGTTATAAAAAATCCAAGTCAGAATAATTCGGTTTTTATTGGTTGAACGTAATATTTATGTAAAAGTCAAGGTCATTAAAGGTTTAAATGCCATATACTTTGAAATAAAGTGCTCTGATTAGAATGATTTCTTTTTCTTAGTTTATAAATAAAATCAAGGTTTGTAAAAAAAAAAACAACATACGAGGGTCATTCAAAAAATACATAGACAATACTTCTCATCATCATATGATTATTACAAGATTATAGATCAACACATTTTCGTAAACATAAACATTTATTTTGTCGAAGTGTGAAGTTTCATTCCATTTGATTAAATAGAACTCACGTTAGCCAAAATTAAAAGCAACATGTTTTGTTACCACGGAGCACGGTTAACCAATATCGTAACGTCAAAAACAACGCTGAGAAAGTTTGTCAAAAGTATACACATTTTTGTTATTTCAAACACGGTTTGTTGCGTCTTCTCCATTCAAAACACATATCCACAATACTTAACAGCTGGTTTGCTAACAATTGAACAAATATAGCTTGAATTAGAATGTTATTGTTTTAAAATTCTCTGATTTACCATGCAACTTTATTATTTCTTCAACATTGAAGCACACATCACGTTCAATGACGTTCCTAACTCTTTTGACAATATTTTTAACTTAAACCTGTTTCTTTGCAGACAATCCATCGTCCGATTCAAACTCGCTACCACTCAAAAATTTTATTTTCAACTTAATACAAATACACAGATTTTTTTCATACAGATCCTGATTTATAAGGATTTTTTAAGCTTGTAGAAAAAGTTTCCCGAATGTACAGTCTAATTTTATTGCTACTTGCTGCTCCGTGACGTCCTCCAACGTCATGGTTTTTTGCCTTTTTTAATCAAGTCCATATGTATTTAGAAGCTGATATCTTTTAAATGGAACGAGATATTACATAACCTGATTTCATTTTGATTAATACAGCAATACTTTATTTAAACATGTAAATTTTATTTCGTTTCAGCTCCATTTATTATAGGTATAGCTGTAAATACAATAAAGTGAAAATTAGAAAATTACTCAATTTTGACGGTGCTCCGTGACCCCATTTTTGCTGTTCTAAATCCTTGGTAATTTTAATAAATATGAGGATACATTCCAATTTTTTTACTCAAATTATTTGAATCTGTTGTTAAAATATTTGTACCAAATTTGGATATAATATGACGTTAAATAAAAAAGTTAGGACAAAAGTCTACGAACTTTTTGAATGACCCTCGTAATAATAATAAATGCAACGCGCATGAAACGGTTATCAATATTTTCTGATGTTTTTCTTATCGCTTATTATATAGACTTTGAAAATATTAAGGCAAAACCTCAAGAAGAATGTTTTTTAAAAAAATGACAGAAATGAGAAGAGATGGGGATTTCATATTAAGAATGTGTATAACCTGTCGCAAGAACTTTTAAGGTACATTGATACTCTGATAAGAGAGATAACTCGTAATGACACAATGTCTATTATTCTTTATGAAGAAGGATATGGAGTTAACGAACAGAATTCCATCTCAAAGTCAATAAAACAATACAAAATAAGAGCAGAGCAAACACGGACCTCCGAAACATCAGAGGTGGGATCAGGTATCATGGAGGAGTGAGCATTCCCTGCCGACCGGTCTGACCCGCCGTGTGCTCCTTGTCATAATCAGGAAATAACGGAAAAAATCCGCCGTCAATTCAATGTATAAATAATGGACTAAAATTGAAAAACGTCAGTCAGCATTTGACTCAATTATAAATTGTATTTGCTGACAAGGTCATTGTATCGACCATAGAACTTACGAAATGATGACTCTAAACGAGACTGCTCATATTCTTGTTTCATCAACTTGCTTGTCAATAATTTATCTCGTTTTAAAAATTACTTAAACGTAGAGCATGCTCTTGCGTATCGAATCAACTGAGATATATAAACTCCGTATGCAGTCGATGAAGGTATATTGCTGCATAAGTAAGGAAAGTTGACGATAGAAAAGTTAAAGTCATCTTGTTAATCATATAGCTTGGTTGTTAGATTATCACTAGTGTCTTTTTTAAGTAAAATATCCAAGTATGAAGCAGAAAACTTTGTGGTAGCTTTTATCTCAAGCTCACCAGGATACATCGTATCGACGTAGGAATGGAAAATATCATTATTAATGACAATACGTCGTCGATATATCTATAAATGTCGAGTTTAAGGCCACAGCAAGTGTTTTCTTCTTTTCACGCATAAGATTTTGCATAAATTCTGCTTCGTATGAATATAAAAATACGTCTGCTTATAACGGAGCGCAATTCGTACCCGTGCGAATTCCAATAGATTGTTGGAATACCTGGTCTCCAAAAACCAGGATATTGTCAATCAGAAACTCAAGCATCTTCTTGATGTCAACTTCAGAGTACTTATGTGTGCAATCAGAATCTGTTTTGTCAAGTTCAAGTGCCTTTTTTGTCAAATTTATCCCCGCAAGGCATGCAATTATTGTTTGTATTGTACTCAGCATTTACATTTCCTTTGGAAAATCATAAAAGTTAAAGAAAAATTTGATATGAGTGAGCAGAGGGTTAATGAACGTTAAGTACTAGTACACTATGATTTTTGAGCTCATGATTTTGAATTTAAAATATTTAACCTCTTCAAGACTTTAACCCCTGTCAAAACTTTTGTTGAAAAAGAGATAGGGATTCCACATTTCACAAGTATATTACCAGTAACAAAACCTTTCTAAATACACTAGAAGTTTTGACCGCTTGACGTTGAACCTTAATTTGACCAACTTGTATAATTTAAAAAAAAATAATTATAATTGTTGAATGAGAAGAGATATAGGGCTTTCATATTTGACATGTGCATTTCCCGTGACAAAATTATTTCGAGTCTGAACATGCTATAAGACTTGTGACCCTTCATCTTGATCATGTTTGACCTAATTTAAAATTTCAACTTTGCTGATAACTTTTAATGACATAAGGTGTTCATAAAACAATATACCTCAAATAAGGACATCTTACCCACAGAGACACTAATAGCGAGGGACCACAATTCTTCTGTACAGCAATTTATAAATAAAGACTTGGTCAAGGTCAAAGGGTCAAAGTTGTTGGTATCTAATGAAAGGTCCTCTCACAAGGATAACATACATAAAGTATTTCTTTCTTCTCATAAACGACAAGAAAATGCCCGTCCGCTTTTTCAACCTGTTTTCGAACTCCTAGACAGATATGCATCGACCAACGACACTGGAGTTCAGTTCAAATTTTTAAGAGATCAGAGAGTGTTGTCGTTTCTTTTTAAGCAATTCTATGAGTTCACTATTGTCCTCATTATTTCTTTTTATATGATTCTTATTGAGTTTCCCATTAAAGCGGCTGTTGAGTCCCTCTGCAGAAAATAGTTCCTTATTCATATCACCTCTTAGTTTGAGTTATGTGTTTACGCTAGTGTTCCGGGATTCGGAAACCATTACATGTATGTTGACTTGAAACTGCGATCGTCCACACTAAATTGAGTTTCTTCGGTGGCGTATTTACATAATTTTTTGTCAATATGGCATATCATGTCAATTCAAGATAA